TGTACAGCCTGATCCAACTGACCAGCAGCCATCAGGGCCGCGGCTAAGTTTACGTAGCCATCAACAAAGTCTGGCTTCAGTTTTATCGAATGTCGATAATTCTCCAGAGCTTCCATCAATTGACCACGTTCTTTGTAAACGTTGCCAAGATTACTGTACGCTTCGGCGCAGATAGGATTCGCTTTCAACGCTAATGTACTGAAATGAGCAGATCTAAAAACAGAAACCATTAATATATAAGAATAAATACAACACAGTAAAGACTTTTTCCTATGACCACCAACGCACGAACGAATTACTTCGGTGTCATGTAAAGCAGGGCTATTGTAGTAAAGCTGTCCGACCGACCGACCTACGTGATAACTAGTGTTCTGCACTTGTTTAAACTTAATACTGTAACATATTCAGATATAAAAACCCACATAAACCTCTTCCGCGTTCATTATGAGAACAGAATAAATGATCCGAAAGAAAATGAAAGATTTTCTCCTTAGCAGTGGACTTGTCAGGAGTTCTGAAACGATCGGCCAAACAGGCCATGGTAATCGAGAGTAGAGCTGTTATACCTTCGGGACTGCAAAGCACCTGCCTGGTGAAGACTCGGGTCGGGATCGATAAACTGTGGCAATTCCCAAAGAATCGTGAAATCTTTTCATTATACCGCTTACAAGAAACAAGATTGCCCAAGGGCAAGACCCAGGCAATATTTGAACAATCATACCAAAAATGGAAAGTTAACTAAATTTTCCTGTTAATAAGAATTACATCATCCCGTTACTTCTCCGGAATTACCCGTCATACGGCACCGTAAATCTGCTTTTAGTAACTTAACCGCTGAAGCAGGCCACGGCTCCATCATATTTTAGCACATGCAGTTTATGGACGCAAAACAGCACCACTTTGTTGAGTCGAAAAATAACATGTCCCAATATAGGTTTAGCATGCACAATTCGAAATCCATAACATGGCATAAACTCGCTTATCAGTCGCGAGTTTTTTAAACTACCTTTGAATATGAACAACAACGGTAACAACCTTCCCGTCCCTCTTTGCCTCAACTCTCCATCGGCAGTCGTATCTTCTGCTACATGATCGATCAGAATAGAAACCTTTCCGGTCCTAAAGAGGGCTGTATGGTCAAACGTTATCGGAAGTTCTCTACGTTCCATTCGTGAGCATACTTGGTCACTGTTTATATTGTCTGCAGGGTCAAAAGGGAGAACACATGAAATGCTATTTTCGTGCCTGCATCTTATCATGAAAACAATCTATTAACTCCTAACTTCCACCTCCAACTTCCTTCCCCTATTCTTCCAACCTACATAAGCTATGAAAATCTGTGTACCAGATGATGTCGTATAGAAGCGACCCTCCGGTCGGAAGTTTTATGTTCTTGTGATTTGTAAGGGGCAGCCACTGCTTTCTGGAACATCGTTAACTTCACTCTCAAAGCAGCCCTGTGAGATAAGAATTCTGTTTTGGGTCATAAATATTTTTATTCAAAGGAAGTAGATTCATTATTTTACTCAGGTAAAAAATTTGGATGGGAAAACGTGTCAAATTGTCTTAATAGTTTATTTCAGAATTTTGTCACCCGCTAAGAGATTCTTCATTGATTCTCGTTTCCTTATAGGTACGCTTCTACGAATGAGAGGAAGTTCTCATAACGGTCCCGTTTCTTAACACGGCTGTCATGGAAATGCAGTAAACCGCCAAACAGTGCCAATGCGACGTACCGTCACTACCGTGATAATTTTTCGTCGAGTCTGAATTTATTCTCAATTCTCTTCAACTCCGCTATATCATGCATTCCAAAATTAGAAATAATTTTGGTCTGAAGCATTTAGGATTAGGGATACTCAGCCAGTACCAATGAAGGTACCTCAATCCGTAGGTATATATACCAAAAACAGACTCGGTTATTTAAGTCGTGGCCTAATAAAAAGGTCGAGGAAACTAATACAAGCAACGGGCGGGAGTAACTACGCCGCATTTATTCCAAGTGACAGGAGAATGCTATTCTTAACGGCAGCATTGAAAAACAAGCAGTTTGCAAAAAAAAATCCATGATAACAGGGTTTATTTTTGACATTTATGCCCATGGACTAAGGTACATTCACTGATGTTAGACCCTACAATACGATGCTGTTTTACATCCATACACTGCAAGTGCCAAAACACCATGGAGCCGTGGCCTGTTTAAACGATCCTCTAGGCTACTAGAAGAAATGGGATTGTCAACGCAGTGCGAAGCCGGAGAAGTGGTAGGAATTTTTTTAAATTCATTCCGATGTCTTGGTTTCGGGCACATAACATATCACCAGGGCTGTTAACAAGCAATAGCACTGTATTACTGTTGTTAATAGCTTCGATGATGGCTCTTTCGTCGGAAGTCGATACGTCAGAATATATGAATCATGCATTAAATCAGTGTCTTTCTGAAAAGACAAGACATATAAATCTTCTTTAATTGTGCTGAAAATGGACGTAAAAATTTCTAACAGTTTAAACAAATGCAAGCCGAAATCAAAAATAAATATCTATCCGGCGATTTTATCCACAAGCGATTTTTAGCTCAGCCTCAGATTTTTAGAACCCAGTATGAAATCTGAAATAAGTCAAGTTGGAAGGAAAATAAGAGTTGGCATTTAAAATAAAAATTTTTCAATAAAGTTTAATGTCCGATGAAACGACGTTTACTAATTTAACAAGACTTTTGCATACGCTGAAACTGCCATATGAGCAGAGCAGCTGACCACCGAAACTTACGCTCTGATGAAATCGTAAATGAGATACATGACTGATAATTATCTGCTTTGACAGTACGTTCATAACCTCAGCCAGGCTGCAAATCAGACATTATATGATGAAAAGAAAACTCAACTAAATTTATCTATTCTTGACCACGATACAACAGACAGTCAGTAAAGCAACAGGAAAGAAAACCAATCGTTTCATCACCAACATCGTAACAAAAATTTTTTTGACATTCTGTAAGGAGAGTAACAGGTTTGTATTCGTCGATCAGCTTCTAAATCTCGAAGAAGACAAAGTTTCGCGATCACACATTCCATCACAGTTCCTCGGCGGCCAAATGAACAGAAAGATGATTTTAAATAATTTAATCATGAGGCACTGTGAAAGGTAACAGACTTGTGTGCATAAATTTGTCAGTGACTTTCTGGTATCCCGTAGTTTCAGTTCGCAGCGGTGGTGACCATTCTGTGTTGAAAGCAATTATAATTGTTCAAGCACAAATTTTAAATCTGAGTAATGTTTTGCGGCTGGTCTCTACTATGCTATTTGTATAATATTACCACTATCTTCATAAAGAAAAACTGTACAGTACAAAAACCTAAAATAGGTTTACATATCTGCGAATGATCAGCTGACGAAAGTTCAGAATTCTTGTCAACTAAACGGCAAAAATATAACATCACCACCAAGCAGCAGACTAGCGTGAGTCAACAAGCACCTTAACACTGGTAGGTAATTTGCATTAAATTAAAACAGACCTTCGCAGGTTCAATGTACTCAGACCACAATGTACTAATCTACCTAAGAAAATGTAACATTTAATATTCATTGTTATTTTCGCAACTAATTTCTTATTAATAAAGAAAAGGAAAGAAAGTTCGCTAGCGTTGGTTTTCCTTTACTTTCATGACTGGGTCATTTTGGCGCCCTTCTTTTCATGAATTCAATAGCATAGTGCAGATCTTTGTTACTATACCATCAGCTAGGATTGTCTTATATTTTTTTAAAAGCAGAGTCTTCAGCCATATGGCAAGCGTAGCGTGTAGTTTCTGGTTTCATTTCCACAGAGTGGTACAAATTTTTCAACCTCAGAAAGAAGAAGGGAGAGTGTTCCCAACCAGGTCTTAAACTTAAGACCAATCGGTTCAGAGTTCGACGGTACGTCGACGTAGCAATCAAAGTCTGAAGCAAGGTATGGCAAATTTCTTGCTCAATGGAATTCGTAAATAAGACAAAGACTGCTTTCGAACGGAAACGAACCCCGCTTCTCCAGTGTTCGACGACTGTGCCAACACGCTACAGTTTCTAATTAATTAGTCAACTTCAGTTTTGCGACCACTCCATCGTCACGAGATGGAAGGTTTTGCTCAACTTTCAATTCACAGCGAGCAACAGCGCACGGCGACAGTCTGCTACACGAAGGAAATGAACCGAAACTGACATTTAAGTATCAGAATAATCAATGAAAGTTTGCAGGACGATCAGGACAGAAGATCTGACTGGAAAACTACTGAAAACAGATCGGAAAATAGGTTGGAAATGTGAACACCTTTTGATCGTCGGTTCGGCTATTCGTTTACGTTGAAGCAGAGGTTACAGCTTAGAAGTTTCACGTTAACGATCAACTTTTGAGCACAAGACACAAACAAACGAACAATTCACGACACTGCAACAATCATCAGCATCATTTTGCTCAACATCGCCATCACAATAAAAGCTACTGTGCGTACTTATCCAGGCGATGGCACTGAAAGTGTATGGAAGAGAGCAAGAGAAGAATGCCAAGGTTATTAGGGTCCTGGCGCCACAACTGCATGCAGTGCCTTTCGGCGTTCTCGTAATCTCCGGCCTGGTATTCACGATGAGCCAGTTCACACAGTCCTACAAACATGGCGTCACTGAAATTCCACGGCCATCACTGCAAACTGCAACAAAACGCTATTCTACGGTAAGCGAAACAAACATCGTTCAAAACCTCTGTTGACCTGACATGTCATTCGTTGTCATGGGTGCCATGTTCTCGACAGGAATCTTAGCGATCCGCTTTCTCACTTCCAGGCGCATTTCAGACGGGAGTCTTACGATACCCTACGTCAACACATAAAGAAACACCTGAACAGTTAAACCTAGGTTTTGTGAAATATCTTGAAACGAAGCTTCATCCCATACCTGAAAACCATACATGACCGTAACCTGCAAATGCTCGAATTTTGATAAGTTGATGAAATATCTATTTTATATTACTTAAGAATTCACGCAAAATTTTATTTAATATTTTCTACGTTTGCAGCGTATTTGTTAATTTTCGGAAATTAATTTAAATATCTGTTTTAGCTAAGAATGTTCCCTGAATTTGTCAGTCATATCGTTGCTGCAAACTGGAGCAATACAGAATTCAGAAATTTGCACTTAGCTTATTACATTTTAAGAAAGCTTATTCATGATTATTCATTGATAGAAGGGTACTAGTTGCTTCAAAAGTTGAGCCATTCCTACAAAGGTACTTTCCATTAAATTTTTATTGCTGGAATGCAACCACATTCTTTCAACCACGCACCTGAGCAATTAATTGCGACGGTGACTTATCATTTAAGAAACCGTTCACAACAGTGCTGGATTATTGATATTTTATTTCTTACCATTTCTAGTATATAGACACTTAAGAACAACAGACTACTCAATTTAATAGTACAATTTAAAGCATGGAAATTTGGTTTACCAGATGAGAACCAACAGCAATGTTTCTGTCAGTATCTAACCAACCGTATCCATAGTAGATTGATACTCTAAAACAGTATCAGTAGATTAGACATACCAGAAGTACAACTGAAGGCAAAATTTGCATCACGTAAACAAAATTTCCAAGTAACATAAATATGCGTAAATTGGAATAGTTTCTGAATTTATAAATGTACTTCGAAAGGATCAAACGACCATTCGGGATACCTCCGATGAGATGGCGGATGTACGTAGAAGAAACAACTAGAAGGAACTGGACACAAATTGCCAAGGACAAAATGACCTGGCATGATTGTGCTCAGCGTGTGGGACATCAAAGAATCCACTCTGAAGCCCAAGTAATCGTGGAATCTTGGAAATGGATTGTCTGTGAGTTATGTTTACTACTTGAGTAGATTTTTGTGAGCTAGCGGTCACTATTTAACTCAATGAGCAGCCTGCAATAAAATATGAAATCAGTTCTAATAGCTGTTTTACGTTCGGTTCTCAAGTTTCAAGTCGTTAGTCCTACCGATTTTGTTAGAGGCACTCCATTAAATGAAAAGGTTGCAACTGCAAAAGGCATATTGTATTTCGCAGGTATTCATTAGCTTGAAATACGTCAGTGCTTCGAATCACTATCAAGATTTAATGATATTTGTGAACTTCCTGAGTCAAAACTAAACAACTTAAATATTTAGTTGAAAATATACTAATTAAATTAGAGGCGCATAGAAATATCATCGAATTTTTGCATTTTCCAATAAGTTCTTGAGCAGCTAATGTTCAATCAAACTCAGGTTGTATTCGAGCCAGCTTTGAGAAGCATTATAGAATTCAGGCAGTGGAAGTGTTCAGATAACGTCGAATTGTAGCCTACTTCAAAGGTTCCCATGTTCCTAAGAACAATGAGCAGTAAGATTTGCCGCGTAATGCTAGTGAAGAAATGTGGCAAAATATTTTCCAAAATGCAATAATTTGTTTGCAAGCTTCATTGAAACAGTTCTTAATTGTTAATTGTTGATTAATTGTTAATGATTAATTGTCGAATATGATAAACATTTTATGAACTTGAATGAATGAAAGTTTACTGAGTGGATGGAATCGGCAACGCATTCCGTTTTTCAACAAGAGAAGAATTTATAATAGAAATCAATGGACATATCACTGAGCAGAATTCAATATGGTAGCCTGCGTGACAAATACAAGCAGTATGTTAAACTATCAAAATAACGAGGAAACAGAACCATGCAGATTGAAACAATCAATGAAAAGAAGCGTTCAGGTACAGCTCCTACTGAACAGATTTATGTAGCGTTCTTTGAAGTTGTTCAGAATTATAGAATCCATGCCGTTTCTGATACTTTCGATTGTAATCATTGACAAAACACTTTTCTGGGTAAAATAGAGAAATACCTGGACAGTTGATAGAACTTGTGAAATCATGATAAAGTTATTTTATGTAGTGGATGAGTGCTATTATTCGTAATGTTCAAACTCATTACTGCACCGTGAAAAATGGCAGAATAAGCAACCTTCATTCATAGATCATTACGTGCATGACAACTTATTTTATGGACACTTCAAGTGATCGCCTTAAGACGCTGATGTTGCATTCTAGTAGGTTAGGGGATCTAACCTAGAGCTACTTACTAAGTTCCCCGGAGTTTTTTGAATGTACGATTTACTCGCAGATAAACTTTGTCTTCTGCTTTCTCTAGCATTCAGGTTTAGAAGCATCAGAGTAAATTAAAGAATCATTTTTTCTCGATTGTCAACATGGTGATTAACTAATGAGCCAAATAGTAATATTTTAAGCTGTGGACTTAAGCTAATAATTTTGAATTAGTTGAATAAGAAACATTTTGCAAATTCATGACTTGCAGTATAAAGGCGTAGGAAAAATATACAATTTACCTTTGGTAATGCTTTTTAGGGCATCTTTAATAATTTAATCCTCTGTTACACGATTAAATTGTCAATAAATGTGTGCTGTTTGAACTTGGAATCTCTGTTCTAACTTATCACCATATTATTGTAATCTTGCCCAGTATCAACAATATTCAAAATCCACAAATAATTGTCACCTCCCTGTACAAAAGCAGTTAATCTGATTCAAAAATTGGAGGACAACAATAAACGGTTGATCCATGCCTCAAGATGAAGACAACTGATGAATTTGTTCTAATGATTGCTGATTATGCTTGCGCACTCCCCCCTGATTCGACAACACGTCATATAAATAATTAAGTGGAAAAACCTTTCTAAATAAGCTGTCGACTTTAAGCCAGATACCAGTTCCCAGATGCCATTAATAAGTTCGTCTGAAGTACTACTATAATTTATTGCTGCCTGAAAATTTTTCCTGAAATTTAATACTTATTGTAGGAAATGGTAGTGCTATGAAACATTTTACGCAGAATTACTGTATGAGTTATTAGGTGCAGTAAAAAATAATTCCTAGGTTGTGGAATAGAGAATAAACTAGTCTAAAACACGAATAAAAGTCACAAACTCGATGAATTAGTGAGTGTTCATTATTCATCATTCCCTGGAAGCAGTTTTCCAAAGCAATCTTTTCTACATAAAATTTCATAGCACCCTGAATAAACGACAATTAAACATGACTGATAATGCCTAATGAATGTAATAAATGTATTTAAACTTGAAAATCGCTTTACATGAAACGTTTGTAATAATTCATATGAACTTTTTTCAAAATTTCTTACATACTACCAAATCTCCTGATCTTAGCGGCGACTGCAGATTAATTCACCTACATTTAGAAGCGAGTGTTGATTAGTATTAAACTTATAATTTTTCTTTTAAAAAATGTACATTTTATTTTATAATGCACTTCAACCTGGTAGATACGTAACACTGAATAGTAAATCACAGATTTATTGTCATCACATGATTTACGCTGCCGTTCTACATCCGTACGTGCCCTCGTTGCATTTCCTTAGTCTATCAAGTGCCAATCTAGAGTTCAGAAGTTACGGCCAAATTTTTGTTCGTATCTGAACTCATGTTCGGTTGAAGCGCATGGACTTCTTGTTGTTGTGCTCGCTAGTTGCGATATTTGAGTTTCCAACTGCAGAATCAAATGATACTAACAGTCCCATTTGCCTCGAGGTTAGCCTCTACAACTCTGTTCCATAAATATATTGCACTTGTATGTTTCATCAAAAAATTTCACAGATTATTTCCTGCCTGCAGCTAAAATTTGTTTACTGTGATGGGATGAATAGTTTATTAATTTTGCTTGTTTTTAGATGATAATCATATTAATGAGTTAGCGCACTTCGAAATTTAGACAGAATTTTATAGGTCACATGCGCATTGTGCTTTGGGAGCCAATGAAGTATGCACAAGCAGAATATTGTATAAACATAAAATGTAAAAACTGTAGAAAACGAATGACTCCTCCAAGACCAGGTTTATGGCACTGTAGATGTTCAAGTACCATGGAGAAGTGGCCTGCTTAAACGATCTCTCTCCCACGCAAGTGGGAGGAAGGCAATACAGCGGTGCAGTACCCCTGAAATCCAGTCTTGGAGGAGTTATCCGGCGGACGAATAACTTATGATGCAATATATTTTAAAGCCATTACTTTGACTCTATTTTTGGCAGAAAGTATAGAATACCGAGGCTGTTTTCAGTTTATATGTATGCTTCCGAAGGTTGCAATTTTAGCTGATGTCTGAACAGGCTGTTGTCGTAACGCAATGCTATAATACCATGGAAGAGTAACTTATTTGAATGGAGCCCTAAGTTCCCTGAACAAGCGGAATGTTATGTCTGATTACGCGTGTAAATCTGTGAAGACTCATCGCAGTTGTTTTGAAGTTACAATTTTTAGTGTAAACCCAGAGTACTGCGACGTTTATAATGTAAAATGCTTTAAAAACAGCTCGGGGTCGAAAATATTTCTAGTTTACTGTTTGAATAACATTGGAATCGAACCATGCCTGTATGCGAACTTACCAATAATAAAGCGTCCGCTTATTCCACTATGATAAGCCCTTTGATATCATTCCAGATGTGACTAGAATAATGTGTGTTTTGTTTGTTGGATCATCACATTGAACAGTTTGTTTAGGCAGAGTGTCTCTAGTTTGTGATATTCGGTGTGCTCACCGTTTTTCAACACTCTTGCTGTTAGATGTTGGC